TTTCCTCCAACAACTGCTGTAATTTCTCTTCTTGTGTCTTTTATTTTTCCTCCAACAACTGCTGTAATTTCTCTTCTTGTGTCTTTTATTTTTCCTCCAACAACTGCTGTAATCTCTCTTGTTTATTTTGCTGTTCGAGCTGCCATTGTTGCAGGTTTTCTTGCCATTGTTGTAATCCCTCTTCTTGTTTCTCTTCTTTTCCTCCAACAACTGCTGTAATTTCTCTTCTTGTGTCTTTTATTTTTCCTCCAACAACTGCTGTAATTTCTCTTCTTGTTTATTTTCTTTTCGCCCAACAACTGCTGTAATCTCTCTTCTTGTTTGTTTTCTTTTTCCTCCAACAACTGCTGTAATCTCTCTTCTTGTTTCTTTTGCTGTTCTTGTATTGCTGCCATCAAATTAACTAAGCTGTAGTTTGATTTGCCGCTTCTCGTTTCCATCTTCTTTTTTTTATCCCACTTCTGACACCAATTTGTTACGTCTCTGGTCGTTTGTTAATTACTCGTAAAAATTCTTTCCAAAGAACTTCAGCGATACAAGTCCTTTTTCAAATAAAACTAGTTTATTCTTTCTCAATTCAATTTTGCGATACACTTAATTTCCACAGTCACCTTAACTTAAACACACGCTAAAATTTACAACGAACGATTCACACACTTTACTTACTACCGCACTTAACTCAATTGTCCGTCTATATCTTCAATCTCTCTGTCTGCTATACAATTATTGCCGTCACTTTATTTACCGGCTTATGTACTAAAATAGAGGGCGTCTGGAGAACACTCGAGGCTTCACGAACGGACATGATCTTTCTAGAATCTTATGACGTGTTACTAGGGTCACGTGACTTCCCCTGTCGTAACAATATAATATACGTACAGACTGATCAAACTCACTAGGAAACCATTGTTTTCACCAAACCATCTTTCCTTTTCAGATACTATCATTGGAGAAAACCATCGTAGCTTGCATCGTTATAGGCCTAATTTACGTCATCGTAATGTGGCTGATTGGAATTTTCTTTTTTTGCTGTCGGTTGTGCAACAACTGTGGAGGAAAGCGAGTACAGAGTGTCTCCGAAAGTACTGGACTCTGGCGACAACTTTTGACCATTATGTTAGGTCTAGTAATTGTGTTAATGTTGTAAGTATTTACTATATTCATTTTAATCAAAATGCAGTTTAATTTCACGTTACATGTTTGTTTTATACATTATGTTGCAGAATGAAATATCTGCACTTTACCTATCGTAGGAATCGATTCCCGAATTTTAGCATTATAAGCCTTTAAGTTTACTGCTGAGCTACCGAGGAAATGTTTTGATTTTTCAATATTATACTCTATATTGCTAACAAAGTGAGTTTTTGTATGATTCTACACTTAAGATATTGTTACGTCTCTGGTCGTTTGTTAATTTTCAGTAGAAATTCTTTCTGAGAAACTGCTGCAATACAAGTCCTTTCTTAAGTAAAACTAGTTTATTCTTTCTCAATTCAACTTTGCAATACACTTAATTTCCACAGTCATTTTAACTTAAACACACGCTATAATTCACAATGATTTACACACTTTACTTACTGCTTGAATCGATTATCTGTCTATATCTTCAATCTCTCTGTCTGCTATTCCAGTTCCGATTAATTGTCTGGCGCACTTACATATAAGAATAGAGGGCGCCTAGCAAATACTGGATTATTCGTGATCTTTCTAGAACGCATTACGTGTTACCAGAGTCACGTGACTTCCGCTGTCGTAACAATATTAACTGTTTAACTATTAATATAAGCGATTAATACTTGTGAGCGCTTTCTAATTACTGAAGATGTATAACTGTTTCATAGCTTAGAAATACGACGTTTGAGTTGAAGAAAAGAAATACCTTCTACATTGGTTACACATAAGATTGGTTTATGCCATGTTGATACTGTTTAAATTAGTTAAATATAATAGTTTTCGAAGTTAATTTTAAAAGGCCATAAAAACGCGCTCATGTTGCCAATACGAGGCTTATTTAACAAGCTTGAGATATATGTTTGCAGACTGAGTACCATGTCTAATAAAAATAACTTACCATTCTTCATGTTTTCAGGATCGCCATTATATGTATGTTTGCAACTAACAACCGTCTGAAAGGCTCTCTGAATGAAACCGAAGATAATATTATTGCTGGACTTAACGATGTAGATAATTTTATGAACACTACTTACGAGGTAAGTTTTCTTTTTGAAAATAATATTTACTGCATTCATGTATCTCATTTGTAGAAACTTGGTTATAAATTGTTCCGTCGCACACATAGAGTTAGGGTTAACGGTCTTGCTCACACTGCTCGAATAATCTTCTAAATAAAAACCGTTCACGAAACGGTTTTATTGGCGAAGTTTCAAAGCGCTTTTCGCAATTACACATTATTATGCATATTGCGTGAAAATTATTTTCATTTTCAATGTCATGTAATGGATTATATATATATATATGATTAATATCGACTTGGGGGCTTTATTATTGATCTTTGAAATTTTCTTTGACCTCCATGAAGTTTGGCTAGAAATATAACATTGCTAAAGCAATAACTATACTCTGTGAATCTTAACAATAAAGTTTCCTTTATGGCTTAATGTGTTCTATACTTTTGACTTGTTGGAAATTTTACTTTGAGAAATTACCTACTATTATATTTTATGTCATTTTATCTTATTAAGACGTTAAATACATGAGAAGATTAACTTTAAAGTTTCAAATCCTCCGTGAATGACAGAAACACAGCAAGAGTTTGAAAGGCCCTTAAGCTAGATTTTCCAATGAACTTTTCTTTTCTTTACTTCGTGATCCTTCCTTTGCCACTTAATTATTTAATATCAACATGTATTTATTTTCGGAAGTTTTAAATGATCATGGTTTTTCTTTTCTCAACGTGAACTAAATGAGATAGAAAATATTTCGAAACAGTAAACGCATCAAAAGCAAACCATATAGTTAACCAAAGTAACGCCACGTGTTACAAATAATCGTTTGAAACAACGCTAGAATTGTGGCAATAAAGCTAGAAAATAACGGCTTTTACACTCCAGAGATCTTGCACTACTAGTTGTGAGGAAGGCGCAATGGCTAAAAAAAAGTATTTATTAGTGTCTGGACAGTAAGAGTTGTTTTTTAAACTTTATTGTCAAAATGGTTTAATCACTCTAGTATGTACTACATATTCTGCAAAACAGCGTTAGAATTGATTGTAATAATCTCAACTTAGATATGGCAGTTCCAGTACAAACAAAAGTGATGATTGGCAATGAACATTCCGTTTATTTTGTAGCATACATTCTGTTTTGAATTTATAATATAGTTAATAAATAATAATTCAGTCAGGTTTTTACCTTTATGTTCAGTATTTATTGACCAGGCTTCGATTCTTTCTTGACTTTTCATGTATACGATTTTGGATTTTGTTTACTAAAGTAATATTTTAAAAAGTTTTTAATATTGTTAAGTATCTGGTCGTTTGTTAATTTCCGGTATAAATTCTTTCCAAGGACCTTCAGCGATACAAGTCCTTTCTTAATTAAAACCAGTTTATTCTTTCTCGATACAACTTTGTAATATACAGAATTTTTACATTCACTTTAAACTTAACTACCTTTATAACACACGCTATAAATCACAGTGATTCACACACTTTACTTACGGTGCCTACTGTTCGCTTGACTCAATTATCTCTATCTTCAATCTATCTATATCTCTTCTATTTATCTGCCTATCATGCTGGTTTGACTCGCCAGGCTTATACATTAAAAAAGAGGGCGTCTCGAATGCACTCGGGCCTTCATGATCCTTCCAGAAACTTATCGCGTGTTACCAGTGTCACGTGACTTCCACTGTCGTAACAATATGCAACTGTTAGCCTGAAGACGGCTCCAGTATAAGATTTAGAAGTCTGTTGAATAGAAATTATCGTGGAGATAAAAACACCCTTTATCTATTGCTGTTTTAAACTTTGTCAAATCATACATTACTAATTTCTTGATTTTTCTGTATGCTCTTGGGCCCCCGCAAGTCCAAGTCCTGAAGCAGTTATCCCACCAATTCCTACGCCTCTGGTCAACATAAAAACTTACTTATAATACTGATGCTATGTTAATCGTCTGTTATAGGCTTATAACATAGGCTCTTTGACGCGTAATTAGGATATCTATTTTTTGTAATTTTGTTTGTTTGAATACATATAAATCTTATAACAGTCTTTAAAAATCTCTGTTCACAGCAAATCCGATATTTAACCGTGGACTGTCTGGATGTAACTTTCAGTGAGATTTTAAATGATATGGACGGTAAGTTAATTATGGCTGTTGACTTACTTTGAAACAATATATTTTGTATGGTTTAAAACAATATTACAGGATTTTTAACCATTATGCTTTTCAGTTAGAAAGATGTTTTTTATCTAAGCAACTGAGCTGAATGTGTAGGTTTCACAGCAGTTGAAAGATCATTGAAAATTATGTTTTTGTACATCTTAAATTAGCTTAAACCTTGTCCCTTTGAAAGATTTGCTTTCAGATATTTTCGCAAAGCCACACAAGTGCTACCTGTGCTAACTGTCCCTAATCTACGTAATTAAAAGAACAATGTGTGTCAGTCAGTCCGTGCATGTATGTATATTAGCTCACATGAATATACGAATACAAAAATGAACGACGTTCAACACGCATTGTTTCATAAGAGTGCAAAACTACGACGTTTTTAACACTAACTTTAAAGACAGTTACTTCAGTAACATAAAAAAAACTCGCAAGGAAACACATTCTGTTAATTCTTTATCTTTCAGTTGCTTATAAATAATACAAAACCATTACATCTCATTGCAAATTTTAACAGGTGTCCAAAACCGACAATTAGGCCTAAAGTTTAAATGCGCTTCGTACGTGAAGCGCGAGTTCACCCGCCACATATTCTACATCAATTAGCCTTAATAGTCACTGTCACAGCTTCATTCATTTTCGATGCTCTACAACTGATACATTGTGCAAAAGAAAATAATTACACGATATAATGATATAAACACATATATACACAAGAAAATTACAAAAACAAACAAACAAAAAATACATGACAAACAGTTGATTTTTATACTTCTTGATGCCATAATATTAAAATTTTACTATTTTATAACTATGATATTTTCCAACTATCTGAATATAATCGATAATTAAGCCTAGTGTTTAAATACGCTTCGTAAGTGAAGAACGAGTTTACCCACCAGTGCACAAAAATATTACATCATTTCCGTTATTGGTGGTAGTGGATGCTTTGGGTAATACTGTTACGTCTCCGTTCGTTAGTTGATTTTCCGTAACTTCGTTCCCACGAAACTTTAGCGACACAAGTCCTTTCTTAATAAAACTGGTTTATTTTTTCTGAATATACCTTTCCCGATCCACTTTTTTTCAACCGCCGCTCTATAACAAACGCTATAACAACGATCGTT